CCATTTCTCTTTACACCAAAATGGCATACCTTTATTAGTTGGTACGTTAGAGTACCTCTGGGAATCAGACAGTGTTTATCCTCCAACTTTTCTTCTATTTGCAAAATTATTTTGGACACTCTAAGATCTTTCCAATACTATTTGGATTGTAGGGTCATCTTTTCAATATTTAATGGGAAAAAATGCCTGCTAGATTTTTATTGTGATTGAATCTATGGGTAATTTATTTTTTGTCTTCATGAGACAGGGTCTTGCTATGCAGTTCAGGCTGGCCTTGAGCTCACTTTGTAGCCAAGGCTGGTCTCATACTTGCAATTATTCTCCTGCCTCAGCTTCCCAAGTGCTGGGATTACAGGGATGTGCCACCAGGCCCAGCTTTCTATAGGTAACCTTAAGAAGTATTCTTAGACTAAAGTATTCAACAGTATATATCTCCCCCATTTATTCATACCTTTAATTTGCTTCTGAAATATCTCAGCATTTTATTAACTTTAACTCCTGAATTGATGATGCATTATGATACATAAATAGCATTTTTTTATTTTTAAATGTACCTTGACTATGTTCTTATGTTAGTACGACTAAATACATTTTTATGCACTGGAATTACCATTTAATCTTACTATATGATAGATATAGCTATTTTACTATTATCTGTATAGAAAATTGTGTCACCTGCAAGACAAGACACATACGTTTTCCAGTCTTAAAGTCCCAGCTATGTCCTCTACGACAATGTTAAATAGAAATAAATGGTGCAAGCGCATTTTCACCTTGTTCTCACTCTTTGAAAGTCTGTTATTAACTATACTTTTAGCTGTAAGATTGTTAAAGATGCCTGTGACTAGGGTGAAGACGTTCCCTGTCATTTGTAGTTTGTTGAAATTAGTATTGACTTCTATGAAGTGATTTTCTTCATCTGTTAACACCATTATGCTTCTTACCTTCATTCTTTAATACAATTGAAGAGTTATGAATTAACCCTTTCATCATTAACCCTTATAGTGCTCTTAGTTCTAAAAATTATTTTGTTCAATCTTAATGTAGTTTCCCTGATTTATTTAATGTGAATAATGTATACAAATGTACATCTTGGGGGCCGGAGAGATGACTCAGTAGAATAATCACTTGCCTGGCAAGTGCAAGGGCCTAAATTCAAACCCAGTTCTGCAAAAAAAAAAAAAAAAAAAAAAAAGAACCATAATAATGTACATCTTTTTCCATATATTTCTTCCCAGCTCATTTGTGTTTTTATACTAAAAATGTTTTGGGTCTGGTTGGTTGTATTAGTCAGAATAAAATAGTGTGATTTTATTCTTCTGCTTGATAGGATAATCTCTGTACTTTAACAAAGTGGTGACACCATTTACATTTATTGTGGTTCTTAATGTAATTGTGGTTAAGTCTATGGTCACTTATTTCCTATTTATCCTAATCTTTTCTCCCAATTCCTTTTGTATGTTTTATTTTAGATTATTTTTAATGATTCTATTTTATTTGATCATCTATTAGTTAGACTTCTATTTTACTTTAGCAGTTGTTTTAGAGATTATATAGCTTTAACTTGCTACAGTCTACCTTGAAGTGATATGATGCTGCTATAAAAAGAAAATTATAACACCTGGATTTCTTCCCATCCAAATTTTCTTCTATCTTATTCATGTACTCGATATCTAAAGAAGCTACAAATCTTACAAGCATTGGTTTTGCTTTGTTTTCTTTCCTTTGAATAGTTAATTACATTTCAAAGAGATTTAGATAGAAGAGTTTATTATATTTCAAATACATGCCATAATAAGATAATATACTTTTTCGTGTGTTCACAATTTCCGACGATTTTCATCCTTTTATGTAGACTTGTATTTTTATATGGCACAATTTTCCTTTTTCTTGAAGAACTACATTTAGCATTTCAAATTGTAGGCCTATTGTTGAAGAATTACTTAAGCTTCCCTATGACTGAACATTTCTTCAAATTACTTCTGTTTCTGAAAATATTTCTGTCGGCTACAGATTTGTAAGTGTTGCTTATTTTCCTTCACATCTTTAAAAATCTTGCTACAGGGTCTAGCTTGTGTTGATTTGGGTAGGTGTTCCTTTGTATATAATGTCTTTTGTCCCACTATTATTAGGATTGTCTATGTTTTATTTTTTAAACAATTTGCTTCAGTTTTTATTCATGCTATTTTTGCTTGAGGTTCATTGAGCTTTGTGCACGTGGCACTCTGCACAGCTCAGCCCAGACACCCTCACCTTCCTGTACTTCCGTTTTGCCTCCTGATCGCAGGACACCACGGCCCGATTAACCCATTCTGTGTGTGTTCCGGAAATTCTTCCAAGGCATTAAGCAGTAGCAATAATATGAATCTCCTGTTTCACTCTCAGGGATCCCCACCCTAACTGCCTGGTGTCTAATTTTAAAATATATATATATATATATATATATATATATATATATTTACACATTTTGATGCTTTTTCAGTCATTTTACTCACAACAGGAAATGTAGTCCCTCTTCCTCCACTTTTGGTAGAAATGAAGAACTTGGGTGGACACCCACCAAGCATACAGCGCTGTAGTCATTTTTTCATTCCGTTTCATCAGAGCCCTTTCATGAAGATGTTATTCACCTATTTTACAGATGAGAAATCCAGTGCATAAGACAGGCTGAGTCACTGAGTCGTATATCCGAGGTGCGTCTGACTACAGAAGATGCTTCCTCCAGGTGAAACAGAAAATTATGGAAGAGTATATGAATGACCATAGGTCAGATTTATTCTGTAAAACTTATCTTTACCATAATCACTTTACTGAAGAGGGTAAATGCCTTCTTTGCCTGCTGATGATAGCTGGCGCATAATTTGGAAATGAGAGTTTTAGATTTCCTATTTTTTTTTTTTTTAATTTTAGGGAAGGGTCTACAGGGTATTCAGGGTCTCACTACTAGATCAGACTCGTAGTGATCTGCCTGTTTACAGCTTCCCAAGAGCTGGGATTACAGGCCCAGGCCACCATGCCCAGTCTCAATTGCCATCTCAGCGCACCCCTGGGGCAAGGCTGGTACAGCAGGCCAGGGGATCAAACTCCTGGCCCCTGTGGAGAGTTTTATATTTCCAATCACTATTTTTGTTGATTATTTTCTTTCTTGTCTATTGGTGAAATCCCTGGGCAGAATCTACACACTTCTGGTCACTTTATAGAAAGAAAAAGGTTCAATCCATCTTGAAGTTCCAGTTTCATATGTAATTTAAGCCTCTCTCCCTGGACTCCAGGGCCTTGGAGAAGGGAAGGAAAGATGGACTGTCCAATTATCCTCCTCCTTTCACCCCTGGGTAAGGGGCGGGATGTTATCTTCTTGCACATGTCCACTCTCTGGTCTTTCAATATGAACTTCTCTGAGGCTGAGGGGTGGAAATGGTAGAAATCTAAATGGTGGAAATGAGGCTCTTTTCCTCTATTACTGCTCCACTTCTGTGCCAAGTTACTGTTGGTTTTTCCTCATGTATTTCGGTCTTGCAGGGTCCTGACTTCCTCTGCCACTAATGCTTGAAGAAGTTCACTCTTGACAGCTAGCTGGCATTTCTGCCTCCCTTGGGCCCTGCCTCTGCTCCATTTTTGAGGGACACATCCTTTCCAATCATAGAGGTATCACGACCATGCCGTGCTTCCTGCTTCTTCATCTAACCCCCATGCTCCTTCCCATGAGCCAGGCTCCCTGCAGCACCCTCCAAGGGCTGCCATGGCAACAAGGACAGAGTCCAGTCACCTTTCTCCCTCACGCTACCCAAGCATCCTTCTTGCCCTTCAGTCAGGGATCTTTTCTGCAAGCCTCTCCTCTCTGGTGCTCTCTCACGATGACACACAGGAGCCAAGCTCCTCTAGGAAGACCTCCACGTCATCTGATCTGATAGCAACAAAGGGATGAAGGGGGCGCGTACTGTGGTTCTGTAGTCTATGCAGCCCATAGGTGGGGAGGAGATAGCAGTCTCCCCTGTGTGGCACCCACCCTCTGCAATGATTTCCTCAGAACCGCTTCATTCATTTAAATTCTGGAGGTTAGGGAATTACCTCATGGGAAAGGACTGGAAAAGACTTCCCACTGAGAGAATAATGATCTCTCTCTCTCTCTCTCTCTCTCTCTCTCTCTCTCTCTCTTTCTCTCTCTCTCTCTCTCCCCCCTTCTCTCCCCTCTCTCTCCCCCCCTCCCCTACCAGTAATCTCCTTATAATAGCTTGTTTGCTGGGTGATGATTGTGGGTAATAGGGCCTGTTTAGCTGCCTCTCAATAAACCCTAGGGGGATTATCAGGCCCCAGTGTTGGCAGCCAGTCTCCAAATCAGGGTGTATTGTTGCCTCTTATTCTCATATGAAGCCCCAGAACACCAGTAAAAGTCCCACCCAGTGTCACATGACATAACCAAGGGTCCCACTCTGCCTCCCATGGCGGCAATCTAAATACAAGTCCAAAAGCTGATAAAAATTTCCCTTTGCCTGAAGTTATTTTTGCCACTCTGACAACCTGAGTAAGCTCTGAAGTGCACTAAACAGGGACTGCAGCCTGGGAACAGTCAGCGTGGTGGGCAAAAAGACAGAACGAACGCATTCAGTACTTTCTTGGGTAAAATGCGCACAATCATGACAGAAAGAATAAGGTGCTTTCTTTGGGGGCCAGAGGTGGTTTCCAAGAAACGGGAACAAGAGTGAGGGCAGGGAAGCCAGGCAAAAGAGGAGGGGGTGGGGGAGGCAAGAGAGGCACAAGGACAGGCGGTGAAGGGCACCAGAGCCCTCCCTGCTTTCCTTCTTGCCTCCCATGGACACTGCCTTGAAGCAATGTGGGCCCCTCTAGGAGAGGGCTCAGCCCGGGCAGGCTCCTGCTCCCTCACGGTGATTCAAAGCTCTCAAGTCTCCTCCAAGAACTGGTGTCCATGGCCCACATAGCGAGTGTTCCCGACCAGGGAGCTGGGCAGGGAAAAAAGAGAGCCCTCAAGTGTAGTCAATCAACATTCTGCCCTGCAGCGCTCTTCAAAGTCCCCTCCCCTCCTTCACCCACACTGGGCTTGTAAGTTTACTGAACAAAACAACAAGCTCATTAATCCAGACTCAGTCAAATATCACAAAAGGACCAAGCAATGTCTCCCATGGAGAGAACCCTGAAAATGTAGGTAAGTGCTATTCCTTTTGATCTGCAGTGAAAGTTTAGACAGATTAGAGTCTAAATCAAGCTGCCTGGATATAATTTCTTTCTTTTGTCTTGATTTATCCTTTCTTTTAGTGATAATAATTTTCCTGTAATATCAACATTAAACCTTTCTTGGTACAAACTGTGTAGATCCTGGGCACATAGCTCTTGTGCTCTTTAAGTATTGAAGGACTCTGAGGAAAAGAAAATTGTGGCCCTGCACCCCGGAGCCAGAGTCAGAGGGACACAGGCATTCACTCGGCTTTGGGCATCTAGGTATGTGGTGTAGGCTCAGCATCCAAAATCTAAGAAGAAGCTGGGTAAGTCAGGAGAGGAGCTTGTTCCCAGACTGAATTCCCTGTGTCATCTGGACAGCTCGTCTTGGATGGCATTTTATTTTTAATCAGTAGTTCCAACTCTTTGAGATATCAGTGGTTCAGATTTGTTCTTAATCATCAAACTCCAGACAGGCATGTCTGAAAGCTCCCTGAGATGGAGAACAGTGTCTCATTGACCCACACACTGGTGCAAAACAGGACACAGGCTGAGTGTGTGCAAGCACTCAGGGGTCCCCGAATGTTGGAGCCCTAAATCCCCAGGTTCTCTCCAGGCCTCTGAGCAGGCTCCTTGAGAACCTTTAAGGAAAGGTGAAGAGACTTTTCCTGTCAGGCATAGTTACATATAGGTATAGATATAGATACAGATGGAGAGATAGATATAGATATAAATATAGGCATAGATAGAGCTCCCCCCAAGAGTTGTTCATATGTTTTTCAGTTGACCTGAATGGGGGGCATGTAGAGAGGCTATTGTCAATCACTGTTCCACTACTAAGGGGGCTGAGGCACAGAGAAATGACTTCATCTCCATCTTTCTATGTCACTCTGGAAACTCTTTGTACTGCGTGGACCATTTCCCAACAGTGTGATTTATCTGTTAGCCAGCTGTGGTTTCAGCATACACAAGCTCCAAACACTCATCTCAGACTGAGTGTCGGGAATCAGCCTCTCAGCCTGGCTTTATCAGGACCGCCGTGGTGCCTGGGAAGATCCAGTTTCACCATCTCTAGGTCACAAAGAGGGCACAGATGAGCATGGCCAGGGGACCCCTCCACAAGCACTTCGACTTTGAGAGGAAGAACGCCAGGCAAGCCCAAGTCAGACTGGGCCAAAGACTGCGGAAACTAGAAGAAGTCTGCCTCTACCACATCAAGTCGCTGAGCAGAGAGCAGAGACAGCTCCAGAAAGACCTGCAGAGGCTCCAGCAAGGTAAGCTGGGGACCCGTGCACCAGAGGTCCAGGAGGGAAGGCAGAAACCAAGGACTTCCAAGCTCCATATGGCCCTCAGTCCCTGCCCACCCCACAGCCCCACAGCTCCCTGGAGCAGGCCACTCACAAGGTTGAGCTGCCTTCTCAGGCTCCAACCGCTCTCCTCTTTGAGATTCAGCCTCTTGCTTCAATCCTTGACTGCTCACTTTCTTATTTTATTGCTAACTCTGCTCTATTTTTATTATTTCTGAGCTGGTTTGGTTTTATCCCTTGTTTATGTCCTTTCTTTTTCAGACTTCACACCATCTATTAAGCAGTTACTAAGGTCCAAGTCCCTATAGTTTGTTTTTATTTTTGGGTTTTTTTTGTTGTTGGGGTGGTTTTTTTTTTGGGTTTTTTTTTTTTTTGGTTTGTTTTTTTGTCTTTTTGAGACATGGGTTTGCTGTGCAACTCAGACTGGTCTTGAGCTCACTTTGTAGTCCAGTTTGGTCTTGAACTCACAGCAATCCTCCTGCCTCAGCCTCCCGAGTGCTGGAACTACAGGCGGGTGTCACCAAGCCTGGCCTAAGTCACTAGTCTTACCTACTTTATAAAATTTAAGAAGAAAAATAATCTCCAGGGTTAGGATTTCAGTTTCCTCAATGTGAAATAAAAGCAATATCCCCTACCTTGTGAGGTTATGTAAGGATCCAGCAATCATTTGCAACAGCACCTACACACAGACTCAATGCTGTGGATGTGTTTCCTCTTGCAGAACTGTATCAGTGTTACAGAATCAATACCCTCCTCCTGTTCAATTGACAAGTGTCACAGTGTTACAGTTTATATGACCTAGCTCTCCTTACATAATCATTAAAATAATTGGATTTTGAGTTACTTCAAAATTCTGCATGGAGCAACTTAGCTCCTCGAGACTTCATCCCTTGCTAAGGCAGATGCCAGGACACAGGATTGCTGGAAATGATGCGACAGGTGCCATGACTGCATATACAGTCTTTCAGATCTACACAGTTTATTGTAACAAAAAAAAAAAAAAAAAAAACACAAAACCAAGAGTAACACCCAAGCATCTGGCCTGTAAGTTATTTCTAACCTCCAGCTATTTCTAATTATATAGGATAACTTCTAGTCTCATTGGCCTTGAAAGAGGCCTCTGACTAAGCACCAGAGCCCCTCTGCTCTTAACTTCTCTGTCTGCAATAAATGTTAAATCAACCTCGAATGAGAGGATACACACTGGAAAGGGATCTGAGAAGGCATTTTGTTGTTTCTTACTTCACTTCTCAAAAAAAGACACTGCAGACCAGCTCCCTCCTCTCAGGAAGGTGTATAGAATAGAAAGCAAGTCCCTAGGTGGGTGGCCATCCTGGCTGGTGGAGAATTTGACTCCTCTCTGGTATATTGAAAGGCTCTACACCAGGAAGTAGAAAGGCTCTGGACCAGGAAGTAGAAAGGCTCTGGATCAGGAAGTAGGAAAGTTCCCTTCAGTGGTGTTGGTCTCCATGTTCCATATTCTCCCTATGTCTCAGAGTTGTTGACGGTAAGATTTAGGGACAGAAAAATAAATAAATAAAATGTATCATCTCAGTAGTTACTAGGCATCATGTTCAACAATATTTTTCCATGATTCATTTAAGAAAAATGTTGAGATTCAATGGTGTTTAAATTAGTGGGTTGCTTAAGACATATGTATTTTCCTAAAAAAAAAAAAAAAAATCTGTATTTCCAGTCCTCATCTTTGATATTTGGATCAATAGGTTAGAGTGTTGACTCGCATATTTGTGGTTTTCACTGGTGCTAACTCAGTGGGCCATTCTGGATCAGGCGTACCACACCAGGCCCTCCCCAACACTGTTACAGCTACTCAGGGGTTAGGAAGCAGGTAGGAAAAAAAACAGAAAAACATGGTCTCTGCCTTCAAGATGCTCTATTTAAATTGCTGGGTAGTTCTGCTTATAAAAAATTATCACAAGGGCCAGTAAGATAGCTCAGTAGATTAAGCCCCTGCAGCACCTGCTTAGGCAAGCTCAGGGACCAGGGTTTGATCCCGAGTACCCCATGCCAAGCCAGCCCCACCCCCAGGCACACTGAGCCAGAGATCAAGACCTGGCATGGTGGCACACATCTGTAATCCTAGTGCTGGGGAGGCTGAAAACAGGAGGATCACTATGAGTCCAAGCTGCGTAGTGAGATCCTGTACAAAAAA